TGACCAAATAGCTAACTGCTAATTTAACTCTGCGTAGCGGTTAGCTCGTAGCAGTTAACTTTACTCTGAGTAACGGTTAGCTTGACTTTGAGTAGCAGTTTGTTGTGTTCTGCGGTAGGATTGTAATTGCATAGAAAGGGCACTAGAGGGCAGTCTAAGACTGTTGTGAAAATATACTGACGCTGAGAGTGACGCTGAAAAACGTAAGGAAGTAAACAGCAAAACTGAAGCTGAGCCACGTGTCTGTTTATTTTTTACTTTAATTCAGTCTTGCAACCCACACAACACAGTTAACTCCGAAAAACACTAAGCTTGACCACGTAGCTAACTTCTAATTTAGCTCTGAGTAACAGTTAGCTTGACTCTGGGTAGCAGTTAGCTTGTCTTTAGGTGGCTGTTAGTTAAATTTTGAGTAGTTGTAAGTTTGACTCTAAGTACAGCTTGACTCTTAGTTGTCAGTTTGACTTTGTGCAACAATTAGCATTACTTTGAGTTGCAATTAGCTTGACTTTAAGTAACAGGTAACCCAACCTTGATTAGTGGATACCTTGGTTTTGAATAGCAGTTAGTTTGAATCTTTGTAGTTTGACCCTGAATAGATGTTAGCCTGACTATGAGAAGCTGTTAGTGGTACTTTGAGTTGTTAGCTTGACTTTGGCAATTAGATGGACTATCTACATAGCACACTCTGAGTAACGATCAGTTTGACTCTGAATACATTTTAACAGGATTTTTTTAACACCTAAAGAACGTTTATCTTCAAACTAAGATCAGTGACCTCTGACAACTGCAGGACAGATACTGTCTAGTTATTAGTGCTCCACACAAACACTTAAATAAGGACTCACTCAGCCTTTGCAGTAAAGTAAATCTGAACACATGCAGTGAGATATTACTGTTTATGATAACTGAGAGACATTATTTTACTTAGAGTTTGTAAATTTATGGTTTTGGGGATGAACTTACCCTAGAATGGTGCATGGCAGGAGAAAGCCCAGAACCATAGTGGTGATCTTAAAGTGAGCATATTTGGGGCTGACCGGGTACTTCTCCAGACAGAGCTGTCTGTCAGAGTCAAACACAGATGGCAGCAGCCCACTCAGGCAGAACAGGAACGTTAGGATCCACACAGCTACACCCGACACAGCTGCCACCCTGACACTGCGCATACCGCGGCTGCTGAGCGGGTAAACAATAGCCAAGCAGCGGTCAATCGCTATCAGGCAAAGGAACATGACGCTGGCGTAGACGTTCACGTAAAACACGTAACCAACGAGCTCACAGGTCAGCCGGCCGTAGGGCCAGCGGTGCGCACCTTGGAGGTACAGGATCCACAGAGGCAGGGTAAGCAGCTGGAGGAGGTCAGACAGCAGCAAGTTGAGGATGTAGACGAGCTGACAGCCTCCTCCACCTGACCGGCCCAGGTGGTACAATCCCCATAGAGACAGCAAGTTGCTGGGAAGACCCAAGGTCAAGATGACGCCATAGATGCAGGTCAACCCAAATGCGTCCGTGTTCAGAGGGAGGTTGCAGGTATCATTGGACATGTTGGTTCAACGCCTGAACGCTTGGCTTAGAAATTATTTTTCATTCACATGGTGTTGCTTCGTGCACCCAGTTTTCTTCCTCATTTTGTCGTATTAATTAATCCATCTGCCTAAAAAAGGTTGGGCTCACGTGCCATCTCATTTGCCATCAGTCGTCAAAGCATATTTGATTCATCGTTGGAAATGAATTGCTGCAAAGTAGACAGAATAAAGCATCTTCAATGGATTGATAGCATCCCCATGAAGAATTAAAGGCTTTCCACCCACCTCACAAGGCTTCAAGTCTGAGTCGAGTCCACAGAAGTGCGCTGCACCTTCTGAACATCAGTGACCTGTGCTCAAGAAATGTTGGGAACACGGCGTCTCGCCCAGTCCTCGTCTATTCTGTAGTCGTTTCCTCCGCAGGAAACTCACTTCTTCAGTTTTAAAGGCAACATCCTGAGGCAGGAGAACGCCTTTCTGCTCCAGAACAAAAACACACACACTCCCGTCTTCTGTGCCACCCTGTAGTAGCGGTCACAAAGATTAAGGACGGACGGTAACTGTGTGGTGGTGAACTGCTTTAATCCAAACTTACTGTAGATTTTCACATTAAAAAACTGTACTGCTGCTCTTTTACTAAATGAGAACATGTGAGCAATTTGCTAAACATGCAATATTTGTATATTTACAGAGTCTGAAACCAGAGACTAGATGACTATCCATATTACAGTGGGCAGCACAGGGGTGCAGTGGTTAGAGCTGTTGCCTCACAGCTGAAGGTTGCAGGTTTTACTCCCAGCTGGGGCCTTTCTGTGTGGAGTTTACATTATCCCAGGTTTTCTCCTGGTACTCCGGTTTCCTCTCACACACCAAAAACATGCATTTTAGGCTGATTAGTAACTCTAAATTGTCCCTAGGTGTTAGTGAGAGAGTGAATGTTTGTCTTCTTTGTCTCTGTTTGTCCTTGTGATGGACTGGAGACCTGTCCAGGGTGTCCTCCACCTCTCAGGGACCGCTGGAGATACACATCAGCTCCCCCACATCCAAGCAAGAACAAAAACCAGTAAAGAAAATGGATGTACTACAGTGAATGAGTGCATGTCCGTATAAATATATAACAGGCCAAAACGAAGCAGATGTTTTTTTTTTTTTTTTTACTATGTTTGTCAGTGTTTTTGCTTTTCAAGGGTCCAAAAACCCGGAGGTCTCCAAAACTTTTGAGGTCTAACAGGTGTTTGTTGAGGAAGAATTTGGGATTTTTGATGGCTTCACAGTTGGAGTTAGGTTGAAGCATTAACATAATGGGCACCTACATACATTGTATCAATGATGAAACACCACAATAGTAAAACATTTATATATATTTATAACATGCATATATGTTTTTGTGTCTGAGTGGAGTCTTTGAACATGTCTGATTTACAAGTGAGAGTCGGCAGAAGACTTAAATTACTGAGAAAACGTTAAATACCCTTCTTAACAAATTAGTTTAACTGTAAAATAAGACACAAGGGATTCCAATTACCATTTACCTCAAACAAGGTTTTATTAAATCTGTTCACAAACACTGAGCGTGTTAAATTTTACATTTCTTAGGCATCAAAGGGAGGAAAAATATGTTGGACAATTGAAATTGTTTGAGTAAAGAATGGCTATGTTGAGAAGTATTTGGCAGTATTGTTACCTCATTATTTCAAAGGGAGTGGGTCATTTTAGTTTGTTTCCTTTAAATGTCACAAATCTATGATTTATTAAATCCAAGTTGGTTACTAATAAACTGAAAGTCCCCCGAGACTTTTCTTTCCTGCTATTCATGTCCCTGATTGACCCTTAAAGACCACATAAACTAAAAACAGCCTGCTTAAACAGGAAGTAACCTGCAGTGGAAATGTCCTTGGAGACGGTCCCAGGACACAGAGACAGAAAGACAACTGTTCTACAACAGTCTGCTTGGATATTACAATTTGTTCTACCAAAATTATATGTGTCATGTCAGAGTTGTAAGGAAAGAGCTGAGTTTTGTCCGGGTCTATGAGATATTAGGGTTCTTACAGTGAACAATGGATCACTAAAATGGTAAATGGACTGTATAGCGCCTTTCTATCTTATAGAGACACTCAAAGCGCGTTACACTACAATCTGTGCCCTCATTTACCCATTCATACAGCACTCCACTAGATCTCTACAAAGCTAATTGAGCAAATCATTCTAAAGAAACTAACCGGAGCTTTAGATCACATTCATACACCAATGGGACACACATCGGAGGCAACGAGGGGTTCATTGTCTTGCCCAGGGACACTTCGGTATGTGACTGCTGGTGGATTCGAACTCCCAACTCCTGCATTGGAGGACGACTGCTCTAACTACTCAGCCACAGCCGCCCACTTAAACAACAAGATATTGCCTGGGTACCTTTAGGCAAAAAACCTATGCGGGCGTCCAGGAGTATCTGGAACTGAGTCAATAAAGATTATTTTTTTCAGGCTCAAGAGGTTGTGCAGTTGCACTCTTTGGGCAAATCCCATTTAGGTTATCCCTACCTCTAGATTTTGAGTGTCCATGGACCTTAAATTGAAGTTACAAGGGGACACCCTTTTCAGAACGTCATAAGAGTCCGTCCCTTACCAGTATAGAGGAGATATATGGATGCAGTTAGAGAGGAGATGGAGGGAGTTGGAGTTAGGACAGAGGATGCAGAGGACAGAGTGAGACAGAGGAGGAGGACTTGCTGTGGAGACCCCTGAAGAGGGAACAGCTGAAAGAAGAAGGAAGATTAATGCTTATATTGTCCTTTAACTTTACGACTGTTTGTGTTATTTAGGGTAACAATCACTTTATTTAACTACTTAAAAACTAGTCCCTCTTTTAATACGGTAATATAATGGGTTATCGTTATGGACGGATAATGGATAGATAGATGGATGGGTTTGTTTTGTCACAATACTGGGACACTGTGTCATTCAAGTTTATTGTCATGTGCATCACATGTGGTACATGAGGTGGAACGAAATTATGTACTCAGGGCTGGTGAAGATTCTCAGTCATCCAGGACATGGTAAATTCAAAAAAGTTCAAGACAAATCAACTTATAATGCAGGTTTAGGACTGATACCCAGCCAGTGTCACACCTATCTGATGTGGCCAGAGGGGCCCATCTGTGAATTAGATTAACAAAGACCTTAACAAACCCCTACTGTAAGGTGTGATAGGTCAGTCTGCATATGTATGTATCTTATCTCAGCTTTATAACTTGAACCACACACTCACTGCTCTTTGAATTGAGAAAGCTTCTCGGATGAGAAGCGAAGCGTCTACTGTTACAAATAAAGTCCAGTTGCTTTTATTTTAAACTTTTTTGTATGTACTCAGGCTTCCAGTTACATGCAAAAGTAGCAAAAATATAGTCACATATCACCAATTAAAGTGGCTTAACAGTGATTTTTTTTTTCCCCTTACAGTGATTATCCATTATCTTTTACCCGCTTCTTCCATTTTGGGTCATGGGGGTCGCAGGTGCCCATGTCTAGCAATCACTGTGCGAGGGACGGGGTTCACCCTGGACATGTCTCCAGTCCATCACAGGGACACATAGAGACAAACAACCATTCACTCTCTCACTCTCACCTAGGGACAATTTAGAGTTACCAATCAGCCTAACATGCATGTTTTTGGTCTGTGGGAGGAAACCGGGGTACCCGAAGAAAACCCACGCATGCACGGAGAGAACATGCAAACTCCACCCAGCCGGGATTTGAACTGGCGACTTACTCGCTGAGAGGCAACAGCTCCACCAACTGAGCCACTGTTCCGCCCTAGCACATTCTCATTTTGTCTTAATGTCTGCTCTCTACTTCCTGGTTATTCCCCCTGTTAAAATCAAAGTTCCTAGCGCACTAATTTTATCTACGTAAATATGCTTATGGGCTATAATAGTGTAAAAGATTACAGCCACTTGTTTAAAAAAAGACCTGAAGGAAAACTTACCTTTTCTTTCTTCCCTCCAACTTTCTTCTGGGCATCCTATTAATATCTTTGCTGGGGGTCTGGTCACAAATGACTTGGTGGTCTAGTACCCCCTCCTTGTCTGGTGCACCTTTGTTTTGGGAAGCGTTTCTTACTTGTGGTTGTTTGAGGGGTTTGCAGCATTTTGCATTTATTTTGTTGGTTTTAAGTTGTTTCTTCTGCATAATGATTCTTTAGCTGCATTTTTCTGTTGCATTAGTTTTGTGTGTTCTGGGGATTGCATCATTCATGTGTTTGCAGCACAGGTTCACTGTTTGCGGCACGTTTGCACCTGTCGACCACCGTAGGTATGTGTACAGAACCACCCGCAAGAGCTAAAAGATGCACTTTTTATCCAGGAAAACATTCTGTTCTAAGTAGATGAGCTCTTTTATTCACAAGTGTGTGGTCACCAAGTAATTTTGTGGCTGATTGATGCATTGCAATGGACAAGTGACAAACATGATTAATCTTGGACACAAATCTGTCTTCTATGGTTTTTATTTTATTGGACACAACAGTCTACTGGTTACACAGCATCGTATAGGCAGTTAAAACAAGGGAAAACCTAAAACCTGATTTCATCATGTCCCTGAGTAGGGCAGGTGTGAGGACACAGTGGCTTAGTTTAAAACTGGAACCAAACGATCAAGGTAAAATGAATACAATGAACACTTCAAAATGTGTGTCCGCTGCATCTTTGGCAAAAGCATTTTTGTGTTATAATCTGGTTCTCTGTGTCTAAAATAAACAATTTCACTTATTTATTTAATTATTTATTTTTTGCAGTTGTATGGGTTTTTTTTTCTTCTTAAGAATACAACATGAAACAGGAATGTTGGTAGAACTAGTTAATTAGTGCATACTTGAAGAAGTCTGAACTCAGTTTTCCAGTTATTCTGCTTTCATCTTTTTCCTGAACCTCCGGCAGCAGAGACACCTACAGACCAGGACTAAACCCCAGATGAAGGTTCCAGTTATGGCCATCAAAATGGCAGCCACATCCAGACAGAAGTAGGTATACCAAGGCAGGCTGAAACCTGCGGACTTCAAGTGGGCAGCTCCTTTGTTCCTGATGACGTACTCGATCCAGAAGATGGCTGTGTCCAAGGGAGATGCTAGTTGGTCATGATGCAAACTAGAGAGGTGCTGAATGTTCTTGTGGTACGATGGATTTTCTAAAATGTCATTTAAAGCCTCCAGGAAGTTCTCTTTGGTCAGAGATCTGACCTCCACCATCCGAGCTGCGCCACGGACTTTCAGTCGGAGCATGTTATCAAACTGATCAAACATCAGGGGCATACCCAGAACAGGAACACCATGATAGATAGCCTCATACATCCCATTGGTCCCTCCATGGGCTACAAAGGCACGGGTCTTGGGGTGTCCCAGGAGATCTTTTTGGGGCAACCAGTTCACCAGTAGGGTGTTATTTCCCAAAGAGGGAGGCTTCTCACCATCAAACTTCCAAATGACCTTTTGAGGGAGCTGAGCGAAAGCAGCAGCTATAGCCTCAGTGACCTCAGGTGGAAGAAGTGACACCAAACTCCCCAGAGACATGACGACCACTCCGTGTTCCCCAGAACTCTGCATGAAAGCCTCCAACTCTGCAGGGAGGGGGTTGGCCTCTTTGCACTGGAACCCTCCAATGTAGACCACATTGGGCATGGTGGGCCGCGGGAACTCAAAGACAAAATCTGTCCTGAACAACCAGATATCAGCTGAAAGCTCTAAAGACAATAAGTCAGTCCCAGGAGGGAAGTGACGCTCAAACAGTTTTGAGTAGGAAGGGTTAATAATAAAGTACTCTGCATAAACGTTGTAAACATAGTGCAACAAATTCTTTGTCCGATCTATGAAATCCATTTGATCGTGAAGTTCACTTCCTGGTACAGGGACAAAGGAGACAGGCGAGGGAGCTACAGTCGTATGGCCTTCTCCTATATTAATCCAGCGCACGTTCAAAACCATCGGCAGTTTGAGGTAATTACCCAAAATAACTCCTAAAGACAGAGCAGGGTCCGTCAACATTAAGTCAAACTTAGAATCCTGTAACTTCTTCATTAACAGGGAGTCGTCCAAAATTTGTTCAGCTGATTTGGCCAGAATCTCATGAGCTCCTCCTAACATGGATATGATCTCTTTCTGTAGGCAAAACGAGCGAATAAATGCGGGATAACGGCGACAGTTCATGTTATCTTGCATAAATTGAATGTACATGTTTTGGTCATCGGCAGTGCCTATCGTTGGAATATTGATGGAGGTATAGAAGGTGGAGTTTCTGGAGATGTACCAGCTCTCTTCAGAATGCAGAACTGTGATTTGGTGACCCCTGGAGTGAAGCTGTTCGAGGATAATCTTCATGTTGATCCAATGGCTGCCATCAACAGGCACCACTAGAATGTTACTGCCTCTACAGTAGGAGGGTCTCAGCAGCAAAACACAGAGGACCACCAAAAATACAGGGATTTTTCGGGACATTTCCTGTCAAGAAACAAATGAGAATTAAAAAAAAAATAAAATTCAGTTGTTCTTTCAAGTATTAATTATATTCCCCTGAATATTTAAACTTTCTAGACACATTCATTTTAAATGTACAAACTGTTGCTCACTCAATTTTCCTTTTTTATTAACAGTAAACAATTGTAGTGTTCAAGACTTCCATGAGCCTTATGGATTATTTTCACACATGCATTTTCATGTGAGCTGAAAATGTTGAGATTGTAAGTCAGGTTCCCTACTTAGAATCATGTAAAGTTACATTTTCAATCGATCTAAAAGACAACTGTACGAACTGTTAGGTCAAAAGACAACATGCAGAAAAGCACTGGACTGAACCACAAACATTTAGTGGGAAACCTTAAGTGGTGGGCACAGCTAACACATGTTCCGCTAACCAAAAAGTTAGCTTTGTTAACTCATGTTTTGCTAACTAAAATGTTAGCTTTGCTAATCCATGTTCCATTAACTAAATAGTTAGCTTTGTTAACCCATGTTCCGTCAACTAAAACAGTTAGCTTTACTAACCTGTGTTCCACTAACTAAAAATGTTACTTTGCAAAATCATGTTCCACTAACTAAAAATAGTTAGCTTCGCTAACCCGTGTTCCACTAATGGTGTTCCAGTACTGGATGCATCACAAACAACGATGAGTCCAGCTACAGGCAGGAGGTGGAACACCTGGAGAGCTGGTGCAGGAAGAACAACCGTCACATCAATGTGAAGAAGACGAAGGAGATGGTCGTGGACTTCAGACAGAACAAACACACCTACCCACCCACGCCCCACGAACATAGGAGGATCTGCGGTGCAAGTGGTCTCCAGCTACAAGTACTTGGGTGTGCACCTGAATGACAACCTCAGCTGGAGCAACAACACCACCAGCCTGATGAAGAAAGCTCATCAGAGACTCTACTTCCTCAGGTGGCTGAGACGAGCTGGGCTGGGAAGCTCAGTCCTCACCTCCTTCTACAGGTGTGCAGTGGAGAGCATCCTGTGCTCCAGCTGTGGCATGGAGGTTGCACAGCTGCAGAAAGGACAGCTCTGCAGAGAGTGGTGAAGGCTGCACAGAAGTCTATTGGAGCCAGCCTCCCCACCATCACAGACATTTACACCTCCAGATACAGGAAGAGGGTCACCTGCATCATGAAGGACCCCACTCACCCAGCACACACACCTTTTTGCCCCACTCCCCTCAGAGGTTGAGGAACATTAAGTGTAGAACCACAAGACTGAGGAACAGTTTATATCCTGAGGCTGTTAGACTGTATGACAAATAAAGAAACT